AAAGTCTTTTAATGAGACTCCCATAATTTGGGGATACCTGTACTATACATTCCAAATATTCTAGCTCAGGAATCTTAGCGATTGGAATGTGATTGATTGACATTTAAATCAATTATTTTAATTTGATCCTTTCAATGTTTGTTTATTGGAATTTCAATAACCTTATTTTCTGCTGGTGTTCTATGCATCTAGCATCATGTTTAATTATTTCTGTACAGCTTTTCACATTTTTTTACTAGCCTGGAGTTTTGGAGCACGTGTCATTAGGGACTTTCAATTCAGAGTAAATGAACGGTGTGCAATTCGGGATAGCACCAGGGCTACATGGAGATCGGAGATGGGGCACTTTGGCCAAGTTCACAAATACATGTACTTTCTCATGTCTTATTCAAATCCTTTCCTTTAACCTTTGTGTAGTGTTCTGTGAGATTCAGATACAAGTCATGGTTTATTAAAGGCCCCATATAAAGTTTAAGCCACTTTGGCTTATATTGTAGTCTTAGCCAATGTTATCAAAGTGTGATATATGAAACTTTTTTTTTAAATTTCAAAAAGTGGTTTTTGATAGACTTTTTGTTCCAAAATTTGTGAATTTATTTCAAACCAACTTTTAGAGGTCACTCATACCTTCTAATTAGCCACAATTCATACCAATGCATAGCATTCATCCTCCCATGTTTTTTGCCGAAAGAATTAAGTAAATCGGTTCATAAATAAGCGAGAAATGAACTTATCAGTGCATGAAAATGGTTCTGAGAAAAATGCATTTCAAAATTTTAGTTCTAAAACATAAAAGTTCTAAAACATAATTTATTCTTCCTTTTAACCTGGTTAGACAATCAACATTGGTTTTTTATAAAAGTCTAACATATTTAGAAAAGATTGACATCGAAAAAAAAATTTCATTTTTTTTCAAAAAGTTTTTGGTACCTTAGTGACATCACTAATGTTTCAAAATATTTTTGATATGTTAAAACATTGAAGTGGCCCATTAAATATGGCATTTTATTATTGAAATAGTGTGTCCTTTGTTCAACCTTTGTATTGGTGTTAAAAAGATAATCTTTTTTGAAATGCATTAAGAAATATTTGATGATTAAGAAATTTCAACTTTTTTTGAAAAATGGCGGGAAATTTGAATATTTGAGAAATGAAATGCTCACAACTTTTTTTTCAAAATTTTTTTTTTGTTCAAAAATCTCTAAAATCACTTTTTAAGTCCTGACAAATAGTAAATGAATGATAAAAAAATATTTTCAAACTTTAGACGGGGACTTTAAGTGTTTTTAGATATTTGTATTGCCCTGTATGATGGTATACCATGACTGTTATTCACTGCTAAAGGCCCCATGCAAAATTTAAAAATACTTTTTTATTAATCAAATAAGCCTATCAATTTTTGTTTTAAGGATAAATCAAATTGCTGGAACTATACCAGTACATCAATGTTCACAATCAATGGAATGAACATATCACACTATTTTATGAAAGCAATCATCTGATTTCTTTTTTTTTCATGGAACTGTAATTCTGATAAATTCTGTTCAGACCTTTCTTGAAAAATCTATTGTTCTCTTATAAAGTTTGCACCTTGTTCAATTTAGATATTTTGAGTAAAGCTTACATATTTTATAGTAAGAAAAATATTTGGTGGATTTCAAAAAATATGCTTTTTAAAAAAGAATAATATCTGATCCAATCAGAACAATACATGTATAAGAGAAGATTAAACTGTATTCAGTAATAATTTCATCACTTTACAGGGTGGGCCAATAAGATTGGAACATTTTTATATTTACTCAATTTTTTTAATATTGCAGTTCAATCCACCAAAAATCAGTTAATGGTCATGGAAAGTTTCCAATTTTCTCTGCTTTAGACATCATTGCTGGAAATAGTCTCAACACAATGTCCATCAATTAAAGATATGTACTGTAGTTATCCTTAGGAGAAGCTAGACATGTCCTCCTTGGGTTATTTAGCTTAACTGACCTCAGTTTTTTCAAAACTGGCACAAAATGTACCAAAACCTATCATCCATGTATGTCAAATACTGCTCAGACTGATTGTTCAGGTGGGTGGAGGACATGTTAAGGAAACCCTTGCATTGAATGATTAAATGTTAAGCTTGTATATTCATATTTCCACTAGGTGTTGACAATAAATTGTTTTCAATTTCCTAAAGTACATGTATTGAAGATAATAAATTTAACAACAACTAACAATAACAATAAACAATAACAATAACAAAAAATTTACAATGAATGGAAAAGATGTTCCAATTTTCTGTGGCCCACCCTGTAGATTGGGGATTGAGATTTTCTAATCTTGCCAATATTTGGTTAATATCTCAGTGAATATCTTTTAGCTATACTGTATAAAAATACTAAATGTTTTGAAATTGGTACATTGAATTGTAATTTGTAATGAAATGTGAAACTTGAACAAATAAAATATGCATTTAACCCAATCATTTAATTTATTTCAGTTTGTGTTTTTGTGTTTGTGAACTTTAAAAATCTTATGGTGTAGTCACTTATAAGTACAGTAGTATAGACTATGAGGAGGAATCAATCTACTATTCTAGTAATTAGTCTATCAATTTATCTCCCTGAGCAGATATCTAGTGTCACTTTCACTTGCCTCCCTCTGAAAGGCCATTCCCTGTATACATTTTAAACCTCTAATATAAATACTGGTAACTCTTCCTCCTAATGCCTTGTGATTTGATGTGCAAATGTGACCAAGGAAGTATCCAGCAATGCTGTGGTTATTGAGAGAAACCTTTCTAGTACAAGGTTTTAATGCTGTATGTACCCTTCAGGGTAAACATTTCTAGTCCCCCCCCCCTGGGGATATGATTTCTGAAGCCAGTACTAATATGTAACCTACCAACACTTTAGTATCTTTTTATTTGCCCTTGGTAAAACTTCACCTTATGACTAAGAGTATGTCTTGTATGATTTTATCTCTTAAACGAGAAACATTTCTAATTTTGTTTCTTCAAGGACAATTGAACCTCTATAGTTACTGTATGTATTAATTTGTCCTCCCATCATGCCACAGCTTATCTTTTTTTATGTTGAGAGAGGGGTGCTTGATAATGGCTGTGAGCGAAGCGAACCGCGTCGAGTTAGCCAGCGAACAAGCGCAAAAATAGTGGGGTTTCTGGTCCCAGAAAATTTCGAAAATTAAACATCATTTGGTGCATTCTGAGCAATTTCAGAGTATATATTTTCACAGAATAAGTTGAACAGAATTAGAACAGAATCGTGTTTTAACACGACGTTAATGTATTTTAGTAATTATGACGCTGTGATAATGAACCTAATGAATGCTTTTAGTTGTTGGAACAAGTTAGACTTATCTTTTATTTTAGATTCAACAAAATAATAATTATCTCTCAATTCAATTGTCTGGCAAAAGTACACCACCTCCTGCTAATGTCGATCTGCAGTCTCACTTATCATTTAAAATAAGATAGCTTTCGAAATATCTACATAAATAAACGATAAAAGCCCTCTAAAAGTTGAGAATTGCATGATATAATAAAACTAGCGCTATTTTTCGTAAAAATACGTTAAATTCGTTAATTTTCTAACTTAATTGCCTCATGGAACGAAAACGCGGTAAAATCCGAAAATGAGCTCTCCGTCCACTGTTACCCCTCACGAGATCCAAATACCCCATTCTGAAAAATGGACGGACAAAAAGTACATAATACCCCATCCACGCGCCAGATACCCCATGTCCACGCGCCTAATACCCCATTATGGGGTAAAAGGCGCGTGGCACGCGCCAGATACCCCATGTTATTTCCTTCCGTCCGTCCGTCCGTCCGTCCGGGCAATAACTCAAATACCGCTGGCCCGATTTTGTTCATATTTTGTACACATATACCCAATGGGGGAAGAAGTTCTGCTAGAAAACCGATTTTCAAAATGGCCGCTTATTTAAAAATGGCGGCCATTTTAGTGCCGATTTTACAGTAATTTAGGTACTGCATATAAAACTGTAATAGCAGTTATGTTTTAAATGTAAAAAAGTTATATTGGACATTGATTAAACTAGAAATATAGATACAGAAGAAATACATGGCAGCCATCTTGAAAAATGGCTGCCTTTGGACGTATTTTTACGATTTTAGCTGTAACTTGAAAAGTAGTGGAGCGATTTTGTTCATATTTGGTATGTGAATACTTAAAGCATGCCACAATGTCTAATGACACTTTTGATAGTAGGCGGCCATTTTGAAAAATGGCCGCCATTTTTACGTGTGTTATTTTACATATTTTACTATAACTCAAAAAGTAGTAGAGCGATTTTGTTCATATTTGGTATGTGAATACTTTAAGCATGGCCCAATGTCTATTGACATTTTGGGTAGTAGGCGGCCATTTTGAATAATGGCCGCCATTTTTACGTGTGTTATTTTACATTTTTTACTATAACTCAAAAAGTAGTAGAGCGGTTTTGTTCATATTTGGTATGTGAATACTTTAAGCATGGCCCAATGTCTATTGACATTTTGGGTAGTAGGCGGCCATTTTGAAAAATGGCCGCCATTTTTACGTGTGTTATTTTACATTTTTTACTATAACTCAAAAAGTAGTAGAGCAATTTTGTTCATATTTTATTTGTGAATACTATAAGCATGGCACACTCTCTAATGACACTTTGGGTAATGTGCGGCCATTTTGAAAAATGGCTACCATTTTTTACGTTTTTTACTATAACTTGAAAAGTAGTGGAGCGATTTTGTTCATATTTGATATGTGAATACTCGTAAGGATTGCATACTGTCTATGACATTTTGGGTAGTAGGCGACCAATTTAAAAAATGGCCAGCATTTACATGTATACGTGGGTGATTTTTTAAAAATTTTATATGTGGCTACTTAAAAGCATATTACTTCTTCTGATGACAACTTGGCTAGTGAACAACCATTTTGAAAATGGTGGCCTTTCTTATGGGTGTTATTTTACGATATTTGCTATATATATTTTGTTCGTAAAATGCCAGCCATTTCTGTTCGATGGGATTTGCTACGCTTTGGCGTTGCCGTTGTTCTGGTTTTCTTTTTTCTTCAAAATTAAGTAAAATTTTCAAAATGGCCATGAATTTCAAAATTGCTGCCACTTTAGGTATCCAGTTTTCTAGTAACAACATAGATAGAAGGGTATGCCGTAGCATATGCCAAATGATATATTATGTCATAGTGACATGTGTATCGTGCCATGTTATGTACCGACCCGGTCATATTTCTTGTCATAGAGACATATAACCTCGAAAACAAAGGTTTTTCAGTTGGATGGTGTAATTTCATTAGGAATCGATTTATCTTTAAAATGATATATAAAACATTGCATGGCTGAGACACATATCATATGAATCATTAATATGTAAATTGTGGTATCGGTATTTTGCCCAATCCTGTAGAATTTGGTGTGTTTGTTTGTCTGTATGCATGTTTATATCCACGTTAAATATTCGAACAATACTAAATCTGGATATTACCGTTGTGTTATATATGATACTCGTCATTATTATTTCATTATCTAGCTACATAATGATAAATCCGGCGGTATCCAATGGCTATGCTAATCAGTTAAGACGAGCTTTGAATATCTAACGATATCCGCCTCTCCCATGTTTTTGGTCAGAGTGAATCAAAATGGCAGAAAAAATATTTGAATTTCTGTAACTAAGATAAAAAGTTAAAAATTAATCGGAAATAGTATAATTGAGTAAAATATATTTCGATTAAAGTTATTGTTGATTGGTTAGTGGAAACTAGGATATAAACATGAAAAATATGCGAAAGCGTGAACTAAATACAAAACTATAATAATTGTTTTGAAGTGCAGAGCCATCAGCGATGTTGAATAACATGGAATCAATAGACAGTAACAGACAATGATAAAATGAAACAAATATTTCACTTTACTTTCGTCTGATACCTGTCATACGTTCACAAGTTTACAATCAACTAGCCCCCTGGGCTTCTTGGAATATCTCTTGTGAAAATATGTATTTTCCTAAATAGAGTAAAATATTTTTACAATATCTGTCAAAAATCTTCTGCTATATGAAAAAATACACCGTAGCTTCTGATAAGTCTGTTTCAGAAAGCGTGCCATAAAAAGCTACCAGTGACCGTACAGGCCAGGGTACATGTACGGCGTCTAAATATTGGCCGACAGTTGCTGATGATGTCCCGGTAAGTTTCCAATCTTGTGGGTCAATTTGGACAAAACAAGTCATTGACTGTCCAAATGTGACTGAATTATCAGAACCTGTGCATCTACAGACCCAGCTTGGCGATGGCTTTGGATTTTAATGTAATCTTGTCTATCTTACCACTCGCCAAGACAGGGAAACGCTCCATTATAATGTAATACCTCGGTACGTTACTGAGCCCGTCAACTCTTTCAATAAAGACTTCCTCACACCAGGTTTTAATTTTTTCCACTGAAAGACTATGTCCATCTTGGACACGGATACAGGCGCACAGCTCTTCATATAGTCTTGGATCTGGTACACCAATTATGTGTACTTGGTTTACACTAGGATGCTCATTGATAACTCTTTCAATCACTCCAGGATATACCATAGCAGCTCCGCGCTTTATAATGTCTTTCATTCGACCGACGACTTTAAGGTAGCCGTAAGGCGTCATGATGCCTATATCGCCGGAGTGTAGCCATCCGTTTGAATCAAACGCTTCAAGGGTTTTCTCCCTATTATTCAAGTAGCCAGCAAAAATGCCAGGACCTCGCGTACAAATCTCACCCCTTGTGTTTATAGGTACAATCGTATTTGTCTCGTCCTTTATGGCTATTTCGACATGTGGTAGCCCATATCCAACCGTTTCGTGTTGTCTAGCATATTCTCCTGATGGAAATGTAAGGGTGGCCTCTATGTTTTCTGCTTGACCATAGACAATGCAGAATCTTACCGGTATACGAGATTTGAACGCATCAATAATTATGGGATCCATTCTCTGCCCTCCCGACCACACCGCCTTAAATGACGTAAGATCGAACTTTTTAACAGTATGTTCGTCCATGTTGACGACATCATACAGCATGTAGGGCATTAACAAGGCATGTGTCACCTTCTCATTCTGCAGAATTTTCAATACAGTTACAGAATTCTGATTTCGAACGGTTTGGCGAGCATCAATGGTTACCAGTTTTTCTTGAGCAGCAAGGACAAATCCAAGTGATATGGTCCCACCAGACCAAGAAAATGGTCGATCATTAAACGTGATATTGCGCTCTGATCCGATGTTCAGGCGTCTGCTTATATACGTTGTATAATTAACTATACCTTTGTGGGTTATGAGAGCATGCTTAGGCGTTCCCGTGCTTCCAGATGTTGAATTTACCCAGCATGGGCTATCCATATCCACTTGATTATTTGCAGCTGCAAATTTTGTATTTTCTTCATTTGTTTTTGGTTGAATTAAGTCATTAAAATCAAGTGAACCGTCAAGAGTATCTCCTACACTGATAACGTATCTAAATTTGGGCATAGAAGGATCAACATCACCTTGAAGAACTTTGCAAAACACCTCAGACACAATTGCTTTCTTAGACGTATCTTTTCCGATATACGCAATGAGAATTTTAGCATCAACATCTTTGACCATCTCAATAATATCTACACCACTTCTAAGTTCAAATGAAGTAAAAACAGGCAATGCCGCACAGTGGAGTAAGCCTCCGATGCTGATGATGTTCTCCTCGCAGTTTGGTATACATACGACTACTTTATCACCGGGCCGAACACCGAGGTCAATAAGGGACACAGCCAAGTTTTCAGAGAGAGCTATCCATCTCTTGTACGTTATACTGCCTTTTCGAGTTCCATCTGGTTTCATAAAAACCACAGCCTCTTCATCACTGTCTTTCAGCTCACGCATACAATCATACAGTGTACGGGAGGATAGTGGACGTTTAGATGCAACATGTATGTAGCTTTTTGTTACTGGCTCTTTTATTGGATCAACATCAGGATCAGAAACTTCTATATACTCCATCTTTCTGCAAAGATAAAAATATACATCTGACATTAAATGTTAACACAATATTGGAGATGAGGTGAATTTTTATGTTCTAAAATATTATTTTGAATTAACCCTTTCCTTGTGGTTAAATATGATGAATTTAATATTAAGATATACCAAAATATCTTGTATTTAGATACTTAATTATCTAAAGTCTTACAAATGTGAAGACATCTTGTATGAATTAATCAGAAGTATATATCGAGTATTCATCATCGCCCGCCAGTTAATAGAAGGCATGAATACACTCATGTTCGAATCAATTAAATATTCCACTTACCCTGCCTGTGTATTTTTATATTATATTATAGTATTATATCATATACACATAGCATAATGCATCTTTTGAGAACTTTGCCTTTTAGCCTAAATTGTAAAAAAGTCATGGACATGGATATATTTAGAAAAATACGCAATACAGTCAAGCCACGAATCTCTTTCACATTTGATCAATATAAAAGTTGAAAAAATGAACTTTTAGATTGAGATATAAATGCATATACCATTAGCCATGGGGTTTAAGAAGCGTTTCTCAAAATATTTTTATTACCCTTCAAACAATTACTTGATTGTGCATCAAAACGTAAATATACTCTTAAATTGCTGGTGTCGATGATGGTGCATACATAGGCTTACATTGATTCATGTTTCAAAATTGATTTTGAGTTTAAAGATGAACTAATGTATTAAGTTTGAATTATTTAATCACATGAACAAAAATAAATTACAATAGTTGTTGTTTATCAACAAGAGAATTTTATTAAGATAATTATTGAAATACATTGTTTTGAGTTTCCCTAAAGGTAATTAATTTCAAGATTTTGTTTTCTAAGCTAAATAATATGCCAAGTCAATTCGTCGATCGACAAAATGAATGTACAAATTAGACACACATGTCTTCTTACATCAAAATACAACATTGTTACGAATAGGTCAATCACTCCTCCTTGTGATATTACGTGTTATTTAACAGTGTCGCTGATGGTCGCTTAGGTTTTTAAACAATAACGTTTACATGATTTACACATTTAAGGTCGTATTTTATTGCAATTAAAGCACGTAAATATTTCTCCAATGAGTATCCCCTTTACACGAGAACATTTCCCGGAATCATGAAACCAGTCGTGGCATTTAGAGCACTTGGACTGATCCATTCGAAATGCAATTGTAAATACGAATAATAGTTGACACTGCATGCCTTGCAAATATTTACAGTGTCTGTTCTTTTTATCGGGCCTCTCCCTTTCTTCTTCTCTCTGAAGTCTTTGAACTTGTAGATGGGGTTCTAAAGGCCGACGCTTCAATGTGGTTGAAAGAGTGGAAACGTCGTAGGGAGTCGATGCTTTACTTGACGTACTGGGTGTCGGGTGTGCTCGTCGTGTGGTCCGTTTTGGTTTTAAAAATGGTTGCTCGGTGACCACCTTAGCTGCCTGCTGGTTCTTCCTAACGGTAATAATGTTGTTCCTTTGCCAACCACAGGTTGAGGATGACGTATCTGTTCTGCATGCGTCACAATAGCACGATAATTCTCGCGTTTCAACAATATTATCGGAAACCCCTCTCACAGCATTGATTCGAAAGGTACCTGGTAAGCTTGTTGGTTTAAGTCCAGTCGCCTTATCTTCAATGTTTTAATAATGCGTTCTGGGATTTCTTGGATTTTCATTTGTGTCCTGGCAGTTTCACTTTTAGACTCTGAGCGTTCCCTTCAGTCTGGCGTGTTTTGATTGTTTCTATATAGGCCTACACTTGGCGTATGCGTGCCCTGTATTCCCGGGATGCTTTGTTGTTCTTTTCTCTGATCTGTTGAAGAGCTTCAGCAGACAGGTTATTTCTCGGTGTATACGTTCTTGCTCTAAGTAGCCTTTGATATCTTTCTTTTTCTTTCTCTTCCTGTACTGTAGTCTGTAGGGAACGACGGCACTTCTCGGCGTTGGTGAGTGCCATATTCTTATATCATCAGAAAGGTCTGATAAGTAAGACAGATATACTAATGAGAGTGTGGGAAGTTATGCACATTAATAAAATGTCACAAAACTGATTATCCCAATGAAATATCTATTGTTTTACAATAATGGCAAGAAATACATTTCGTCTAGTGGTACACTGAACGAAACGTTTATGAATTAAGAAATATCGGGGAATGTGCATCTATATTTGTCAGTGATTTTATAAGACTATGAACTGCTCAATCATCCCAATTCTTGTGTCACATTACCTTAGCATTTTAAGACAAACAGAATATGCATCATAAGTAAATAACATGATCTGCTTAATAGATTCAATTTTACTTATCACTATACGTTGTAGTCACAGTGAACAATATACTGTAAATCCTTAGCTCGGTATCACTGTAAAATGCTACACATACAACAAAATAGTCATTTAATGAATGTAAGTTCATTCAACAAATATATAGCGTTCGATTATACATGTGACCTACTTAATATGTGGATAGTATTTTGGAGTCGTATGTGGTGGAGTCGTTGATGGTCGTAAATATCTCAATCTTTACGTGGTCAAAGAATAACATCAACAAAGCGTATTTTTATATAATCAATATATATTGAGACAAACCGTCAACACCATTACTTAACATTAAAACCTGATTCTGATTGAAAGCAGAGTGCAAAGACAACGTACTTATAGAGTCGATGATGATTTTGAAAAATAGTACTTTACGTCGAAAATACGTAACAAGCTAAATATGTTATATTCAAATGTATTGTGAAAATGTTTTACATCCGTTAATAAGGCAATTTATATTTTAAAGAAGTAAACGAGGAATTATCATGAATAGTGCAGAGGCTTCTCGACACTGTTGATTTCAAGCATGGTGTCGATGATGGTGCCTTCGAGGGCTACACATACTTAATGTCGATTTTCCAATAGTAAATTAGCAAATAAATTAATTCCAGCTAACGTACAATAGACACGATGCAGTCTTTGTGATGAAATAGTCAATTATTATAACAAAATACGTTTCAGAATATAAAAAAGTTACTGTCAATCAACATAAGGGTGATCGGTTACAAGGCAAAAAATGATAGTTTGGAATGTTCGACGATTAATAATGCGTTCAGCTTTTATAACCATGAGATAAAAACTAAATGATATTTTGCAGGATTAAGAGACGTTTAATTTGATACCAAATACTCATGGTAGAGCGTATATTAAATAGCGGAATAAAAACATATAGTCATGTTACATAAAATTCGTTATAATGAAAGGAATACGTGGCTTGAGTGAAATTTAACATTATTATTGTAACATGGTTTTCTTCATAAGTATGCACACATGCTTCCATTGATCGAGGAATAAAACAGTTAGATACCAAAAACATTATTCAATCTACTTTTAAATGACGACGAGTCTCGAGTCTGCATACCGCCATTCATGAGTTGATTTATTCACACTTTTTCGTGTTAAACTATTTCATATTTTTATCAAAATGAATGGCATCAGTAAAAAAAATAGTATTCCAACATAGAATTAACATTTCAGTTGACGTCTAGAAAAAATATATCATCCTCGTTATAAGACAAGAGATTAAAGAGCAATTTCTAAAGAGCCAGATATCTATCTATTGACCCACTTATATAGTCTGTCTAATTGAAAATAGAGGTAGAAAATAAGATAAGTAAAACAAACGCCTAAATAGTGGACAATGGAATATAAAAATTAGCATTCCTTCATCTGGATGGATCGGCAATATTTAAGTGCGTTTCTGAGTAGTTGAAGCACCCAAGGGAATTAAAGCTTGCGTGAGTATATGAACGCTCCTGAGAACCGTACATATAAGAATCTCAACTTTAACAAAACAGAGAGGTTCTTTGCAAATTACTTCATTGGGGTCAGTTAGAATTATTTGTAGACAATGTACCTGACCTTTAGATAAAGAACAATGTTAAAATACTTAAATCAAGATCAAATTACCTCTGCCACTCCAATTTTAGCCATCAAGGACAACGTGCTACATAGATTTGGACAATTAAGATCACCCTGATAATTGATTTATTTACAAAATGCCAAAAACTTCTGATACTTCGGATGTTGACCCTTTGAATTGACTATGGACTTCGACACTGGATTTTATCTATCCCACATTATTTGAGACTGAATACTATTTTATGAGTACTAGTATCTACAACTATTTTTGATGTTATGAGTATTGGCTATCAATTTTTTCAATTTTTCTTCAACATGTATTGTAATGAAATGTCCCTTGGTGTTCTGGTCCTGGATTGTGATAATGGTTCTCGATTGGAGAGGGGGGTGTTAGACATTGTTTGTTTTCACGTTAGGTCATGGTTTTTGGGATACATAGGGTCTACTTTTCTTATGACAGAATTACACTTACAGTTTGCTTTTCTTGTTGGATTTCTTAAAAGCTTTTATTCACCCTTCCCTTTGGCATTTGCGCTTATATATTCTCACTGCCTGTAATTTTATCTGGTTGCCCGGAAATTGTTTGATTTGACGCGCTAAAAAGTTATCAACCAAGCTTATTGGGAGTTTAGCTTGCATATAGATTGAAACGCCAACCTATACGTATGACCATTTGCCCATACAAATGCATCGTTTAAATAACTCGCGTTCACGTTTAGGTTGTCGAAAACAATGCAAGCTTAAACTCCATAATATCACCCTACAACAATGAAACTTATTTTTACCAGTCCATAAAAATTTATCAACCAGGAAGAATTGACAGAAAAATCAGTATTTGTTTTTTGACAGCCCGGAAAATAATGTCAAAATTCGAATTGTGCCACTTATGCAAATAGTATTTCTCTTTTTTGAACCGGTTATTTCCTAAATAAAAAAGGCAAAGAAAGGTCCATGTGCAGTATGGCAAGTGGTTTAGATAGTCATATTTTTAACCATGAGTACTTTCTGGGCTTGAATACAGTGGTTTTAATTGAAACAATATGTTATCTTTCAAGTGAAGTGCTCATAATGGTAAAACCATCAATCAGC